GGAGAAGTCTGGAGCCGGTGCCGGCGGGGGTCTGCGCTTCTGTCCCGGCTAAAGTGTCTCCGAGAGGGAGCCCGGGTTAGTCTGTAATTGTAGAAACACCCAGCAGTCCTGTGGCACCTGACAGATAATCCATCTCCTCTCGTCTGAGGACGTGGGTTTTGCCCACGGAAGCTCACGATACTAGAACTATATTTGGGGTAGGCTATAGGTGCCCCAGGACTGCTAGTTTTCAAAGTTACCGACTAACTGACAGATAATCCATCTCCTCTCGTCTGAGGACGTGGGTTTTGCCCACGGAAGCTCACGATACTAGAACTATATTTGGGGTAGGCTATAGGTGCCCCAGGACTGCTAGTTTTCAAAGTTACCGACTAACGTGGCCACCCCTCTGACACTAAATACACCGGGAGCTTTTGTGGGTTAAACCTCTTTCTCGTTCAGGAAGTGGGTTTTCCCACGAAAGCTCATACGATGATTGATGCTAGTCTCCGGGCCTGCTCCCTGTCCCCCTGATGTTCTGTTTTGTTTAGGCAGTTTGTTTTGTTTGGATAGTGCTGGAGGCAGGTACAAACACCTCTCCGGGGCTGTCTGCACTGGGATGAGGCAGGCCTGGGAATTTGCCTCCAGAGGATTGGGTGCAAAGAAACCCCGAGCTGGTAGAGATGGGCGTTCTCTCTCGGAATTGATTCCTCACGCTTTTGGGGTCCTGCCAGAGCCAACGGACTGATTCCCGTGAATATCTGGGTTTTATTTTTCAGCCGCCTCCTTTACGTTGTTAGAAACAGAAGTACAGTAATTTATTTTTGAAGGTGGCCTCATAAACCACACCAAGACTCGGACAGGAAGTGAAAACCCTGATTGCTTGCAGCAAGGCTTCACGGCCGCCTCTAGACTCCTGCTCCCCCGGGAGCTCCAGAAATGCGTCTGTCACTGGTGTGTGGGGGAGGTGAGGTTTGCACCCACAGCTGGGTCGAACTGCTGCTACCAAAGCCACTGGTGGCACCAAGGGAAGGGGGTGGATGTACCAGTTGTGTCAGTCCAGACACATCTGGTATTATGACCTATGTAACTCACCCCTGATTAAGGGGGTTAATGGCTCTCTTTAGAGCAACACATCTGGGATCACGGGTAAATAATTAATCAAGGAAAAGTCTAGCTATAAAGACACTAGGCCAAATTCTTTTCTCAGCCTCTTTTGGAATGATCCTTAAAGCCCTCGTGTGGCTACAGAATATGTATCCACCTCTGATCCATGAGCTGCAAAAAATGTGTAGCCAGACAGGCGATAGTGGTGGATTTGCAAGAGTCTCATTTGAGATGCAAAGATCTGCCGAAGAGCAGAAACTGGCCTGCTAAATAAAATGAATATGTGTGGGAGGCCGTGTCTTAGATGTAGGGACCTGTGCTTCCTGGGAAATTGTGTATTATTCATATTAACTTAGCACCTAGAGGCCTCAATGGAATGGAAACTTGTTAGGTGCTAGGGATGTCAGCGTGTAGATGGCGACACGATTAACAGATAAGACTGGGCTTATTGTTTAATCTCATTGACTTCATGCATCCCACCCCCTCCGCTGCCTCTGTTTCAGAGGCAGCAAAAGGAGGGGGCGACAGGAGCTGGTGCCCATGAGGAGCTGGCTTATAAGCCGGCTCCCCATGAGCACTGG